CCCTGGTTCAAATCCAGGTGCCCCCTTATTTATGTTGGATTCTGGTTACTGACTTACCAGGTTCATTTTAGGGAGGCCACCCATGGAGTTAGAAAGTCTTCATTAGCTGAAGTTGCTAGAAGCAATGTGTCTATGCCCCATTTACTTCTGTGGGTTCCATTCTCAGTGACACTATAATCACCCACTGGCCCAAAGGCTGGAACCCACAAAGTGCCTTAGTACAATGCACACAACTCACCTCTGACCTTTGCTGAGTCCTCTCTACCTTCTTGCTTTTTCCCCATTGATATTTTTTTCTTATGCTCACTGGAATAGTAAGTTTTAATAGTCAATTTGACACATTGTTTAGTCACATGAAAATAAAGTCTCAATGAAGAATACAGTGTCTAGATAAGGTTGACCTGTGTTCCTGTCAGTTGGGGATTGTCTTGATGGTTAAGTCAATTGATGTATGAAGACATAGCTCTGTTCTCTAGGCAGGGATCCTGTATTGTGTCAGTGTAGAAAGTGTGCTCAGCACTAACAAGCATGCGTGCACTCATTTTTCTCTGCTGTTAATGGTAGATGTGATGTGACTAACAGCTTAAAGTCCCTGCTGCCTTGACTTCCCTGAAATAAGGGACTGTGTCCTGAAATTGAGAGCTAACACATCCCATTCCCTCACTTGCCTCTTGCCTGGGCATTTTATCACAGCAGCAGAAATGAGGCTAGAACATACCTTCCTCCAGTGTCCCCTCTTAATGAGTATTGGTCTCAGTGTGGTCCAGAGCTGCCCATCGAGTGATGGACTGCATTCTGCATTCCAAGACTCTACTGACAGGCTGAGATGGGGTGGGGGAGGGTCCGAATCTGAGGCTGTGCCAGCATGCACAAACACTACCTGGGGACAAAGACTCTAGGAGGTGCAGGACATCAGCAGAGGTTTCTGAACTTTTTAGTCTCTAACTCAGTACTGTCAGGTGTTGAAGAGATGCCAGCAGAGTAGTGCTGTCTGATTAGGAAGGTGAATTTTTCCGTTTGTAAGTCTGGCAGCATTAGGATGTCACCCAAACGTCCACTGGGTTGTCTTGTTTGTTTCCAAAGCACAGGCCCTGCAGGGTGCTCGCTGCTGGAAAGATGGTGAGGGAATACTTGAGCATGGGTGGAATGGCTGTCGGGATGACCCAAGAGGCATAAAAACATATAGTTAAACTTACAGAGCTGGAGGATATTTCAGAGTAAATTGATGACTGTGTGAGCGATTTGTGACAGGCTGCTTTTGCCACAGATTCTATGAGAAGGGCTTGAGTGCCCATGAGAACTGACTTGTTATTGAGAGAATTCAGAGGCAATGGCAGATAGACCTTGCTATTGGGAAAAGTGAAGCTGATGTGTCTCCATGGCAGGAGGCCTTGACTAAATCAGTGCAAGGTACAAAGAGAACCCAGAGTTTTCCAGTTACAGAATCCTTGGCTGTGTGGCTTGGATCCCCTTTGTGAGGACTGATTTGGTTAAAGTGATACACAGGAAATTCTCTTAGATGGGAAAGAGCATCCACAAAAATGAAGATTGTCCCACAAAAGCCCGTGTGTCCAGAAATGCACCAACGACTGAGCTTCATTGTGACTAGGGCTTTTAAAAAATGGGATGAAATTATTTGGACCTTTATGATTTTCCTGTGGGAAATGTTTTCCTGTGGGAGCTCTGTTGACAAGCATGATTCCCACACCCATCAGGTACTGACCAAGGAGAAGGCAGAGTCTCTGGCTTATTATAGGAATTCACATTATGATTCCTGGTGGAAAAGAACCTTTGAGATAAATGAGGGGCCTCTGGGGGATGGAGTGTGCTTTAATCAAATGTACCTATATTATGGGATGCACAGTCATGGCAACAAGGTGAAATACCAAGAAAACTCTCTCATGCCATGGGAGTACAACCCATAATAGAATGTTTGACTGCAGGCTAAGGTTCTGAGTTCAAATCCAGGTGCTTCCAACTGATGTTTCCCTTCATTTGGAAGCCTAAAATTGGCATCTGTCATCAGTGTTCTGCTCACTGGTCACCTCCAACACTGTCCCTCCTAGGACACTGTCGGTGTCTTTGGGGACATCAGATATCAATCATAAGTGAGGTCCCATCGATGGTTAATGACCTGTGTCTGTTTCAGAAGTTCTTCATCAGTTGCTCCATAACCTTGCACTGTGGAGGGATGTCCTGAATCAGAGGCTGTCCAGGAGTTCTGATGCAGAGTCAGCGGGTCAGTGTGTCCCACTCTCCACACTGTGCAGCACCAACATGTCCTTCAGTTTTTTCTTAATTTTGTGTATATGGCTGTTTTTCCTGCATGTGTGTCTGTACTACACATGGCTGCCTGGTGCCCAAGCAGCACAGAGAGCATGTCAGACCTCCTGGAGCTGGAGTTAGACACTGTTGTGAGCTGTCAAGTTGGGTGCCAGGAATCATACCTGGGTCCTCTGCAAGAGCAGCATGTGTTTGTAAGCATTGAGCCCTGGCTCCAGCATCCAGGCCTTCAGTCCTGTCTCCCTTTTCCTTCCTTCAGTTTTTCTCTCTTCTTGGTGGACATTTCTCCTACATTCATTTCTTTTTTCTTACTCTCCTCCTCAGCCTACGAATCCTGTGTCCAAGGACTAAAAGTTCCCAGTGATGTGTGACAAAGTGACTCTACTTGTAGCCTCAGAAACCAGAACAAAGATGACCTTCTCCCTCATCCTGGTCACTGTAGCCTACCAGCCTTCCCTCTACTTCTCACAGAGTGTGGGGAGAAGACTCAGATGTTTGGGATTCACCCCACAGAGGGCAGGGATGTGTCACCACCCATCTGCTTGCTGAGCAGGGTAAGGTGTCTGCCAGCTGGCTGAGTGTGTACCTTGGGTCCCACATTTTCAGGTCCCCAAGTCTTCATTTATATTTGCAAGACAGAGTGAGTTCTCTAGTCCTAGTCCATGGTGGTTTCAGTAGAAAGAACCAGTACCTGGTTCTCGAACCATCTGTGGAAGCTGGCACAGCAAGTGGGCAGTGGGAAATGACTAAACATAGGGGGTCACGAGTGTGCTGTCTTCTGCCTACACTGGAGAACTGCAGTTGATTCTCCAGAGCTGAGGAATGGGGATCCCAGGCTGTGGGGGTGAAGCACACAGTCTTCTGGATTCTAGGCTGCTTCTTGGCCTGGTAGGCATCTAGTGGTGGCCGTTGACAGGCACCTCTTCTAACTGGTCAGGATCTTCACTGTGGCAACAATGCTTCAGTATTTTAAGTTTCACTCCACAAAAGAGATTTCTCACCAAAGATTCAAACATTTTACATACAGCATTTGCTGCAGCGCCATGTGTAGCTGCAGCAGACCTGGCAGCTCTGGAGCATCAGGAGGTACCACGGACAGCTCCACAGCCTCCACTCTGCTGAAGACAGAGAAGGGAGATGACTACCCAGCACTGTGCAGAGCTCTCAGCTAATTCTGCCAAGTGACCAAGATTGTATAAAACCAAAAACGAAAATAAAAATCAAATTCCCACAATGCTGTCTAGTGAGATGGCTCAGCAGGCATTAACTCTTGCTGCACAAGCCTGAGAATCTGAGTTTGGATACATGCCCATATATGTATTTCCTATATGAAAAAAGATGTGGGGTCACATGTATGTACTCCATGCACTCCTAAGGAAAGATGGGAGGTGGAGGCAGGAGATTTCTTCCTGAAGCTCACAGCCTGTTAACCTGGAGTGTGCAGCCTAGTTTTTTTTTGTTTTTGTTTTTTTTTTTTTTTATTTATTACATATACAGTGTTCTGCCTGCATGTATGCCTGAATGCCAGAAGAGGGCACCAGATCTCATTATAGATGGTTGTGAATCACCATGTGGTTGCTGGGAATTGAACTCAGGACCTCTGGAAGAGCAGCCAGTGCTCTTAACCTCTGAGCCATCTCTCCAGCCCGCAGCCTAGTTTTTAGTAATAAGATGTACTCAGCTTCAAATAAAACTGAAGGTGAAGTGTGACACTTCAGGCTTTCCTCTGACCTCCTCACCTACTCCATGGCATACACATGCTCTCATGTACAAATACATCATACATGCACACGCACAGACAAATACACACACACACACATACACACACACACACACACACACACACACACACACACACACACACACAATCACTAATGTAGGAAGTTTACAATGTCCCCATCTCTCTCAAATACTGATTTTCATTAGTGGTGAGACAGGTTGCCTCGGGCACTGGAGGTGAGAAGTCACAGAGTATCCTTGAGTGAGGCAGTGCATAGATATGGTGCTAATGAGGTGAGTGTGCACAAGTACAAGGTCATAAGTCACTGGCAAAGCACTTTCCAGCTGGAACAAAGCTAGCCAACAGGGAGGAAGCTTCCAACTTGGTCCCCCATGTGCTGTGACTAGTTTGTGTGGTGTCTTCAGCAATAGGGTTTTGTCAGCAAGTTCTGGTGAGTGTCTGAGAGCAATGGCAATAGGCTGTATTGTCCTGGGGGCCTATGGGACACCAGAGTTTAATTGGAATTGCCCCACACACGGGATTATGCTCATCTGAGAAGCTATATAGATGACCAAATAAAACATCCAGTTCCAGGCAGGGATACCTCCCTTTGAGTTGTTGGTCAGAGGTGTGCTGGAGCCCCAACCATGTTTCTTTCTTTCTTTCTTTCTTTCTTTCTTTCTTTCTTTCTTTCTTTCTTTCTTTCTTTCTTTCTAGTTTAATGTATTTTAATAGCAAACTTACAGAACAGCACAGAAGACAGACAACATTAAAAACATGTACTTTCATGTAGGACGACACAGTTAGAAAAGTATAGTGAATGGATGGAATCTACTGTATGATAAAAATGCTACAAACACCATTTAGTTGCTGTCAATAAGAAATTCACTTTTTTAAAAAAAGTCCAAATGCTGGCATTGTCCAGAAAATTTTAACAGTTTATTGATAATTGTTATAAAGTTGAACTGTTGAAATATGTTCACTGAAACATTTTGCTTGTATTAATGCTTTACATCTTACATTTATATTAAAAATTCACACACAAATGAAAATGGAAAAACTGCCAATACCTGATTTCTGTGCCCTATTTTTCCACTCGCAATCATATACTTAGGTACCTTTTGACCCCATGGAAAAACTATCTAACATTCAGAACTACTGATAACAGGAAGAAGAGGAAAAAAATTTTTGAGAATGAAATGTTTCCCCTCATAGTGGACTCTTAAGCACGTTCTCTGCGTATGCGGCGTGCTAGCTGGATATCTTTTGGCATAATTGTTACACGTTTGGCATGGATAGCACACAGGTTGGTATCTTCAAATAGGCCAACCAGATAGGCCTCACTTGCCTCCTGCAAAGCAACAATAGCTGCACTCTGGAAGCGCAGATCTGTCTTGAGGTCCTGAGCAATTTCTCGGACCAGATGCTGGAGGGGGAGCTTGCGAATCAGAAGTTCAGCGGACTTCTGATAACGTCTGATTTCACGGAGTGCCACAGTACCAGGCCTGTAACGATGATGTTTCTTCACCCCTCCAGTAGAGGGCGCACTCTTGCGAGCGGCTTTAGTAGCCAGTTGTTTCCTGGGTGCTTTGCCACCGGTGGATTTGGGGGTAGTCTGCTTTGTACGAGTCATGGTATGGGCACCTCCTTACTTACCCCCCTTCTCCTTCGGCTGGAGCTCTGCCCAACCATGTTCCTTACTAACTCCTAGTGTCAAGGAGTGCCGTTGAGAGGTTACTGCCATGGTGATTTCTTGTCCTGTAAGCCCCACCTGCTCCTTGTAGCCCAGGTTTTTAAGATCTTCCCTTTGTCTTAGATTTCTTTGACATTTGCTAGTGAGTTCACTTTTCATCCATTGTGCCCAGTACTTACCAAATCTGATAGAAGTCCATATCTCCCTTGATGGTAAATTTTCTTGTATTTGTCCTTCCATCATTTTCTGTTTCTGGTCATCGTGGTAATGGGGGGTAGAGTGTGGATTCAGAGTCATGAGTGTTTGGGCCCTTGGGTGAGAGTTCTGTTAAGAGGCTAAGTCATCTTCTCATAGGGCATCAAATTATTCTGTATTATGCTACCCAGAGTGGGAGGCTCTGGAGTTTATTCCATAAACCTCAACTAATGCAGACCTCCTAGCTTTACTGAGGTCCTTCTCAAGGCGCATATGGTAAATTAATAACAAAAATCAAATTTAAGCAAGGGGGCACCTGGATTTGAACCAGGGACCTCTTGATCTGCAGTCAAATGCTCTACCCCTGAGCTATACCCCCACTTATAGGTAAGGTAACCTCTCATTAGCATCTCTTCAACCTTGGCACCACACCCAGGCTTCCTACGTGTTCACGATCAACTGGTTCCTTATAACGATCTTGACCTGGAAAGGTTTTTCTATTAAAGTCTGCCCTCCACCCTTCTCTACAACCTTAGTCAGGCCATCTCTATGTCCATTCTCTCATGTGTGTCAAAGACATCAGCTTTGGTCCTGAAAAGGACACGTGACTGTGGTGTTTTCTTTAAGTTCACACTCAATTTTCTTTATGTGGCCAAGACAAGAGCTGGTGATTCTGGGTTTTCAATGGTCCAAACCTTTTGCATAAGAGAACTTTATCTGTACTCAAAGATATCAGGAGGGTGCCCTTTACTTCCCTCCATCATTCATTCACTCAACCAACACCCATGGAGCTTCCTATGTTCTGGTCACTATCAGCCACGCTGAGGACACAAAGTGAGGTCAGCCATTCCCCTTTTCCTCAGAGTCTTAGTCTAAATAGGAGACAAATTCATGGTTCCAAGTCTTTCCTCAGAAGTAGCAGGAGCCAAAGCATAAGCTAGGGGAAACAGCATGTAAGGAGTGTCCTTTCTGTGGTCTCAAGAGGGACTCTATTCCAACTTCCTCAAGGACTGAGCATTACAGAGCCTTGGAGGTCAGCGTGTGTCACAACATGAGTGTGACCTGGATGGTTCTCACACTGAGTCCTGTACTAGCCTCTCTCAGAGAGGAGAGCAGGGACCAGGCCTGATCACGATACAGAGCACACGGGGAACAGTGCATTAGTTGCCTCTGTGTTCGCCATACTTCAGATTTGGTCTCTTGTATCAAAAAGAGACACTAGGAAGGGGGCACCCGGATTTGAACCGGGGACCTCTTGATCTGCAGTCAAATGCTCTACCCCTGAGCTATGCCCCCATCTGCTTCATGTATATCTAATAAACATCTCTGAACCTGTGTGTTCACTCCCTGACGTGCTAGTACTCTGCTATCATCTGCTTTCTCCCGTGAGGCCCAGCCCTGAGCCAATTGCACACCTGTGTGCCTCCTCCTCATGACCAGCACCCTCCTGCCCTAGTTCACAGCGGAGACAGAAGCACTAATGGCCGGAAGTCTGCATTCAGCCCATTCTCCCTACCACCTGGAGAAGCCAAGCTCAGGGTTGGGTGTAAAGTAATTGATAGCTCTTGAGAAATAGAAAGCAGTTTTCTCTAAGGGTGTAACTTGTTGTATATCAATGATATTCCAGTGGATGGCCCCACACCCAGAAGCTTGTGGATAGCACAAATAGGAGAACACAAAGCTGGGGGTGTGAAGGTGGGATGGATCTGTGAATAGGAGTTAAAAGAATGAGTTGAAGGTGAATATAATCAAAATACATTGTATGAAATTCTCAAAATGTAATGAAAATATTTTCAAAAGAAAATATTTTTTCCTCAGCAATGGTGTCTTACCATTAGGTTGTGGAGAACAACCAATAGACTTGCGAATAGATGTTGATGTTTGGGGGCTTCATGGAACCCTTGTGGCCACCAATTCAATAAGACACAACCTGTTCCTGGCACTGGAGGTTTTACTTGGTGACATTTAAATTCATTTCATATAGGTATGTATTTTAGGAATCTTCTATTGTAGTAGATAGACTTCCATGTAAGTTGTCAAAAGACCGGTGTTAGATGTCCCTCCCCACAGTCCTCTTTCCCTTCTCTCCCATCCCTCTCCCTATTAAATCTTCTAATTTACCCTTATCTCTCCATAGTACTTATTCTATTTCCCTTCTTTGGTAGATCCTCTCCCACCACATGGTTCGCTAATAGGTACCTAACCTCTGTGATTATTTGGGTTGTAACTCACAGATCAAATGTTTAAAAGCTTATCTCCACATAAGAGAAAACATTCAATATTTGTCTTTTGGGTTATTTGGACCTCACTCAGGATATTGTTTCTAGCTTCATCCATTTTCCTGAAATTTTCAAAACTTTGTTTTTTTAATGGCTGAATAATATTAGATTGTATAAATGTACCATATTTTCATTATTCACTCATCAGTTGATGAATATCAAGGGTGTTTCCAATTTCTGGTTATTATGAATAGAGCAGCAATGAAAATGGATGGGCAAGTGTCTCTTCAGTAGATGGAGAGTCCTTTGGGTAGATATCCAAGAGTAGTACAGCTCGATCTTGAGGTAGTCTGATTCTCTGAAGACAGCACTTACTTACCTTGTAAAACATGGAGAAGTTAAACTGGTGTTCAACTTCTTCATCCATCTTGACAAGCATTCATGGTGCTTGAAGGCACGCCACCAATTACCAGAGGAGAAAGGTAATCATCCATATCACCCAGATACAAACCCTGTTACCTATAACATTCATCTGCCTACAAGACATCTTGGTTCAATAGTGACATGAGTGTTATGGGAGTAACCACAAGTTTGAATTTATTATTATTATTATTTATTAGTTTTTTGAGACAGGGTTTCTCTGTAGTTCTGGCAATCCTGTAACTCACTCTTTAGATCAGGCTGGCTTTGAACTCAGAGATCCACCTGCTTCTGCCTCCAGAGTGCTGTGACTAAAGGTGTGTGCCACCACCACCCAGCACAACCACAACTTTTAAAAAATTGGGTTCAAGGCCCGCTCCATGAGATGGAACCCACATCTGAGACTTCTACAATGGCCATGAGCCTGAGACTAGCTGGGGCATGGGCCCTTGGAGAAAACCCACTACTATTTTTTTTGCTAAAGGAACATAGCAATAAAATGACTCCTAATGACATTCTGCTATTCCCATAGATCAGTGCTTTGCTCAGTCCACAGCAGAAAAGCTTCTCCTTGCAGTAGATGGAAATGAACACAGAGACCCACACTGGATAATAGACAGCAAGTGAGAGACATTGGAGCACTCAGTCCTAAATGGGATGCCTTCATCAACCCCCTCTATTCAAGTCTCAGGGTTCTACAGTGAAGAAGCAGTGGAATAGTTTTAAGAGCCAAAGGCAGAGGATGATCCCAAGGAACCAGTGTCATCCATTTGTATTTTGTTTGCCTCTCCTGCTCCTTGTCACTGTAGACCTGCAGAAGAGGACCAGTAAGAACCACATGACACAGTCAACACCAGGCTGTCTTGGAATCACCTCTGACAATGACATTCATCCAAAAGTCTTCACTTTAGCCTCTGGCAGGTTTCTAGTCAAGAGCAAAAGGTGGCCACATTATTTGTCAATCTATCATAAGAATTTTAGTATTCTTCCCCTCTTCAATCTTTTGAGTTGGAAAACCACAGCCACATTGCTCTGAGCACTACTGTTTTCTAAGTTCCTATTAGCATGGCCCATTAAGCTCCATTTACATTATTCAACTGCTTTTCTGATCCAAAGTCCCAACATCTTCCATATTCCTCCAAAAAGCAGCATGGTCAGGTCTGTCATAGCATAACTCCGGCCCTGATATCAATTTCTCACTTACTATTCTGTTACTATAGTGTTACATATATAGTTATTACACTGTTCTAGTGCTATGAAGGAACACAATAATCAAGGCAACTTATAAAAGAATGCATTTAATGTGAGGATTGCTTACAATAGCATGAGGTTAGATCATCGTGGTAGGAAGCATGGTAGCAGGTAGACAAGCATGGCACTGGAGCAGTTAACTGACAGTTTACATATGATCCACAAGCAGGGGGCAGAGAGTAAAACTGATCTGATATGGGATTTTGAAACCACAAAGTCCCCTCCCAGTGACCCATCTCCTCCAACAAGGCCACACCTCCTAATCCTTCCTAAACGTCTACCAAACAGGGACCAAACATTCAAATATATGAACCTATTGGGGTCGTTCTCATTCAAACCACCACATAATTTTATGAAAAATAAATAAATTAAATATACAGATTATTGGTATAGTGTGTGGGAAGAATTATATGCCTTATCAGACATACAAAGGCTATAAATTTTACATCCATTCACATCTCACATGAGGGGTTCATCTCCCAAAAGAAGGAGTGTCATTTTGTTAAGAAACATCCAAGATCAAAATCTGGGAAAGAGACACTTCCACACAGAAGAGATGGTGGAAAAGAAGAATGTCATAGTGAAGGAAGTCACAGGGCCTTGATCATGCAGCAGGCCTTTGGGGACAACCAGAACACAAGGATCAGGAGCCCAGGTCACTCCTGGAAAACAGAAAGTTGAAATGTTCATTAGACAGTAGAAATGTTTCCATGCAAGGAATATTATTCTGAAAAGTATTTCATGGAGAACTCAGGGTTTGTGGAAGATGTAGATATTTAAAGAAAATGAAACAGTTTAAACATAAGATTACCATTAACTTCAGGAAAATCAAAAGTTCTACCCAATGTCTTTGTCCTGTTTAGAATGATGCACATCCACCACAGTGTTGACAAGTCATCATGATAAAAACATAGAAGGTCATCCAACTAAAGGTGAATGTAATGGGAAAGTGAGAATGGAAGATGCATGAAAATTATAATCCTCTTCTACAAGTCAGTTAGTTACTGTTGTCTAGACCTGATTAAATCAGACATGCCATGCTGTATGCATTTTACATATGTGCACAGGAAAGACTAGAAGAGACAGTGAAACCTTTGGGGAATGGCTCCCTTTGGGTGACAGGAGCAATAAGAAAAGAATTTGGAGGAGTGTTGTGTTTTTTTTTCTTAATAATCTTTTACAA